AAACGGGAGTGATCAAATTTCATTGTGAAAATTATCACGGACAACTTGGATTAGCAAAACTAAAAAAAGAAACTTACGAGGGATAAGCTCAACTATAGCCAATACACCCACCCCGAAAAACAAAACTGGAATAATAACAAGAAAATGTGATGGTTGTGTGCATGGTCAAGAAGAACAAGTTATAGCATCTTGATTTACATTGTTATAGATTCTTTGTTACCAGGGCCGGATTTAGGGGGTGGCCAAATGGGCCGCGGCCCATGGCGGCAAATTTAGGGGGCGGCAAATGTTGCAATTTTTTCAAATGTAGGTATCAAAAAAAAAAAAAAAAAAAAAAAAAAAAAAAAAAAAAAAAGGATTCAGGAAAAAAATTACAAATGAGAAAGGCGACAAAATCTCTCATTTTCTGAGAGTATAGTAATTTCTAATTTGTTCGTCTTTCGGTGATGCAAGAGACAGAGCCTTTCATTGGTCTAGTTGAGAAAGGAACCAAATACGCAATTTGGCCTGGAGCGGCACGGCGCAGAGAGCAATGATGACGAGGACTGGAGATGAAAAAGGAGAAGCCCTCGGCGCGCCGGGCAGCATGAAACACATATTAGCGCCTACAAGACTGAACGAATACTTCACGCATTGCGTCAAACGTAGTGCGGTCAGCAACGGTCGGCGTGAAACGCATAGCGCCTACAAGACTGCAAGAATACTTCACGCATTGCGCAAATACAATGCGGTTGGCGTGGTGGCAGAAATTAAAATTATTAAACCACATTCATGTTTGTTCGTTCATTTCTTATAAATGAAAGACCTTGTCCCACAGAAATAGGTTTACGGAACTTACTTTTCCCGCAAAGTTCCGTGAAGTTTTGCTAGTGTTAACAGGGCTTTCACAAAAAATGTGCCTAACACGAGTAAACGCGTCTTATGCACCCCTCCTCCTCCGGCACGTTCACTTTATGGTTTTTATCGATATATCATAACGAGTGAGAAGGGGCGGCAAAATACAGGCGGCCCATGGGCGGCAAGTAGGTAAATCCGGCCCTGTTTGTTACACCTGATTTTTTGGAGGAAACCTAATGAGCAGATATTAGTTTTTAAAATTATAAATGGTTTGTACTTGCATGCATCCTATGTAGAGCATTCTATAAAAATTTCTAACGATAACACATGATTTTTTTTTTTTGTTGAAAAAAAATGAGACATTCGCGGATACTTTGAGACTTCGCAATGCAGATAAGTGTTTTTTTTTTTTTTTTTTTTNTTTTTTTTTTTTTTTTTTTTTTTTTTTTTTTTTTTTTTTTTTTTTTTTTTTTTTTTTTTTTATACCTCGAAACCTTCCTCTGACTTTCCGAGGTTTCTGAACGAAAAGTCTCAGAACTTTTCTCCGACTATTTAAGGTTGTAGAGCATGGGGTCGCTTTTGAAAAGGTGACCTGTTGTGAACAGATAGTATCATTACTACCGCGAAAGTATTCTGCGTTTACCCGCAGTTTGTCTTTAAAACAGGATAAAGCTTCATTTTACATGAGTATTTTCCCTGGAAAAAAACACGAAGCCCTAACTTTACATTTTCCTGTTCATCACTACTTTCTCTTGATTGCCAGTTCAGGTATGTAGACTTCATGAGCAAAAAAATGGTTTGCAGCAAGATATAAAAAGTCTCTTAACCCGGTTTGAAATGATGGATAAAATATAGAATAACACCAACTTTGGATCAACACTTGGTTTTCTTTTGAAAGATAAAACCGGGGTGACAACTTGCAACGTCCCAATTGGAGATACGCACTTTCCAACTTTCTCCATCTAAGTATGCGCGTCATTGGTTTCCCTGAGCAGATTAGGGTTTTTATGGATGGTCAGAAATAGTGACTCCTTACGGCAAAATAAAGTTCAATACTCAGTCGTGGCGACTAGAAGCGAGAGCTCAACGCGCAACGGATCTCCGCGAAACCGGCAACTCAACCCTCCGCTGTGATGATCCAGCCAACTTTCTTCTTTGGGGGTGAAGGGGTCGAGGGTTGGAGGGGAGGGGTGTTGTTATGCGTCGGAACCAAGTTTTAAGGGCCGGGAGACGGACTCTCATTGGGGGCGTCTGACGTCGCATAACGCTAGGACGAGCTCATTTTTCAGCGTGCACTTTAACGGTCAAGTTTCGCAAGCAAATTGGATAGGGCTCCAACGGGGCCAGGGGACNGGGGGGGGGGGGGGGGGAGTGGAAAGTGAGACGACGTGTGAAGAATCTGCGGAGCGTGTGAGCTTTTAGGTGGATTGGTAGCGCAGCCCCGGTCCGTTTGGTCCGTTTTCCTGGAAGGCGGCCAGAGAGCAGTTATTTCGTGACGTCACTTTGCCTAACTTCAAAAGATATTTTTTTTTTTCAATTTCAAAATGTTTTTTAGTAATTTCTTGAGACCATCCAGATGTTAGTTGAACTTACCTATTAGAAGAGAAGAGAAGGAAGAGTTGAATTGCTCGATCGGGGAACATGGCTCATAGTTTTGAGTTTTCATTTTTTTTGTCAATATTACTATGCTCTAGCGTCGTATTTACCCGAGAAAAATTGATATAAAACGCTAAATTCTGCGATCCTAAGTTTGAGCAATCGCTACTAAGTACATTGTGCGGACGCAATTTCTCTTCCAATAAATTAAACTGATCTCGGCAAATTTCACTAAAATTGACCGTAACCTCAATTATTGTCACCAAAAGTATATATAATACTAAGGGGCTATGCCCCCTGACCGCTACGCGGCCCAACCCCCAGAGGGCGCTTCACCCTTTCTTAGGCTCGCTTAGACAAACAAACGACAAAAAAAAATTAAAAGCTTTTCATACCAGACTCTCATTCATCCAATCTCTCTCTGGCCGGGAGCGATTGGACCGATAAGAATCAAATAAGAAAACTGTCATTTATTTCAAATTTCAGGCCAATACTGAAACGAAACGAAACGAACAGAACGGAGCGTTTCGTTACTTTTGGGGAGTCTGTAGTGAAGGAGCATACCTTTAATTCACTTATCTTACCCTATACTAACAGACCAAGATTCACAATTTCCCGCTTAGTACCTACAAATTTTGCCCCTTTTCTAAGCTCCCAGGTATACTCTACCTATTTTAAAAAAAATCTGGGTCATATTTCCAAAATCTGATTACAGCGGGCTCATCTAGGGACTATCACCTGTCAATAACCGCAAAAATTATGGAAATCGGTCCAGAAGAACGCTCAAACGAACTGTGACAAAAAATAAAAATTTACATTGTTTAAATGGGAGAATTCGCAACTTCACCGCGTAATATAAAAAAACTTATGGGTCATATTTTCAAAATCCGAATAGAGCGGGCTCATCTAGAGACAATTACCTGTCGATAGCCGCAAAAACCAAGAAAATCGGCCCGGTAGAACGCTGGAACTAAGCGTTACTTACCAGATATGCAGATTTAGGAGGCCTCGGAGCTTATGTATATGATTTCTTAGCAACAATGCCTCTTCGATGCTTTTTTTTTCCATTTCCATTAAAATTTCCATTAAAAAATACGTCTTTAAAGAAAAATAAGTTGAGTTTTATGTCTTTTCTGTTCATTGAAAAGGAAAATAATCTACGCAGAGTGCACAAGAATAGTTCAAAATCATGAGTTGAGAATCGCTAACTCCGCGAGTTTAGGTAATCGCGTCAAACACAGTTGAATCGCCGCAAAATGCATGTTTATAGCGCCTACATTATTAAAGGTATATTTCACGCATTGCGCGCTCACCAGGGGCTGGAAACGTTGAGACTTTATAATTTGTCGTTGTCAGGCCTAACGCGACGCATACCTTTTCCGATCAATGCACTCCGCCAGCCTTAAATCCTAGAATTTTGCACCCTTAAACTTGGTAACACATTTTTTGTTTGCCTCCATCTGACGGACATCTCCATCCAAGCCTCCATCTGACGGTCCATCGCAAATATTTTACCATTCCATTCCCCTACTCTGAGAAATCTTCGTTTTGCCATGTTTTCTTTTCAGTTCTACTCATCAAAATCGTTGATTAAATATGGAGCATAAAAGGAAGTTCGACAATAGTACATTTCGGAAAAGTACAATTAATCCATTCAAAATTTTCTCCGATCTAGCGCAAAAGTAGTTTAACGACGGGATGCACACTTAATAATCATATTAAAGTTCAACTTTTGATACGTCAACATCCACAATAATGCTTTGAGGAAAACTCGAAACAGGATTCCAAATTTACTAATACTTCAATCTCTTCGTTCTTGCCTGGCTTTTCCGAGTTTGGCCAAAAAATCCACTATCACGTATGGGTACGTCAAAATTCCCTGACATTGCAAAAAGCAAAAACTAAAGAGAAATAAGTCACCTACTGAGTAGGTACTATGTGTGCGTAAATTCTCTGGATTTTCCCCAAGTTTACCTGAAAACTATATCTGATTACAGATGCCAACATTTCCTGACTTTTCCTTAGTTTTATCTGAAATAATCCCCAATAACGTTTGGTCAAATTCTCAATTTTCAGAAAGAGTAAAAAATTAATGTTTACTTTAACTGCAGAGGGCATGGTGCAATTTTCACCGTCAAGATTCAGGGAAAAAATTCCTCCCAACAGTCAACATTTCCCGACAGTTCCCAGTTTTTTTTTAAAAAAAAAAAAAAATTCTGTTAACTTGACCCGAGTTTACCTAAAAACTATACCTGACTACAGTCGCCAAAATTTCCTAACTATTCCCCAGGTGTACCCGAAAAAAAACCTCCGATAACGCTTGGTCAAACTCTCAATTTTCAGGGAGAGCGAACAATTTACGTTTACTCTCGACTGAACCGCAGACAGCGCGGTGCAATTTTCACTGCAACAATTTAAAAAAAATTCTTCGAAACTGTCAAGATTCTTCGACTTTCTCGGTTTTTCTTTTCTTTTCTTTTTCAATGCCCTGACTATCCCTGGTTTCCTAGCCCACGGAACCCGGCGAGAAATAAATGAGCAAAAGTGGAAACTTGAACGGGGCATACCTTCAAGGTCCGGCCGAGCTGGATCGCTGAAAAGCGGGCGACATGGTACCTGAAAATCTCAAGAAGGGGCGGCACTGGAGACGGAAGCGTTGAGCGGCGAGAAAGGTGCGCGACGCGGAAGAGACGTCGCGGCAGAGCGAGAATTGTGAAGGCGGGAGCGAAACCACCTCCGGCTAGACACAGAGCACGACTGGAAGCAGACTGGAAGCGATAGCGAATCGCACAGCTCCAGAGACAGGGCGCACAGCTCCAGAGACAGGCCGCCCACCACCCGCGGCCGAGTGCAGCAGATGAGACTGTAGCCCCCCTCGTGGTGATAGACCCCGTGCGTTCTGAGCAGCCGCAGAGTCCAGCCCTGGGTGCTTTCACCGTAACTGCAATAGTTTTGTCGCCGTAACAGACAACAAATTTTTCCGTCACATTTTTAGTAGAAATGATAATCACTCGTTTTTTTTTCATTGATCTACACAGGGTTACCTACGTGTTATAACGCTCTTCAAAGATGTATCGCTCTACTTTTCAACTTTAATAAATTCTAGGTGGCAGTCAGAGACAAGTGGCAGTAGTCACTCCGGCCCAATCCTATAGGTCAATGGCCGAAAATGTGCTATCTGTTATACAGGGTGTTAGAAAAGTCCCCCCCCCCATCTAACTTTTTACCTAATTGAGATAGAGTTTTGAAACTTGGAGGATGTTTCTATGTCAAAGGGAGCTACTTTTTGGCCCTCCTAAAATTTTCGGGGGCCCCCCTTTGGGGGATAACGGACCCCAACTTTTTTTTTCAAATGGGAAGACCCCCTTTGTGATACCTCGTTCGAAAGAGCATAAAAAAAGAAATTTTTCCGCGCAAACTCGAAGTTATTATCTTAAGCCGTTTCAAAATGGCGGCCGGTTAAAGTTCAAATGGCCGAAAATTGGCATCTCGGCTATTTGCACATGGATTTGTTTGAAACTCGGAATCTAGAGGTATTTTTGCACGAGAAAAACGAATTTGACGTTAGATTTGTAAAAAAACCTTAATTTCTCAAAATGGCGGCCGGTTAAGGTCCAAAATGGCCGAAAATTGACAAACTTGATTATTTGCCGATAGATTCGCCTGAAACTTGATATCTGGGGGTATTTTTGGCACGAGAAAAACGAATTTGACGTTACAACTCAAGTTTGTCACTTTTCGGCCATTTTGGACCATAACCGGCCGCCATTTTGAGAAATTAAGGTTTTTTTAAAAATCTAACGTCAAATTCGTTTTTCTCGTGCGAAAATACCTCCAGGTGATATGCAAATAGCTGAGATGCCAATTTTCGGCCATTTGAACTTTAACCGGCCGCCATTTTGAAACGGCTTAAGATAATGACTTCGGGTTTGCGCGAAAAAATTTCTTTTCATATGCTCTTTCGAACGAGGTATCACAAAGGGGGTCTTTCCATTTGAAAAAAAAAGTTGGGGTCCGTTACCCCCCAAAGGGGGGCCCCCGAAAATTTTAGGGGGGCCAAAAAGTAGCTCCCTTGGACCTAGAAACATCCTCCAAGTTTCAAATCTCTATCTCAATTAGGTAAAAAGTTAGATGGGGGGGAGGGGACTTTTCTAACACCCTGTATACGCTGACTTTTTACCGCGTATCAGACAGCAAATTTCCGGAATTTATATAATATTGATTGAGAAGTAGAACAATAAATCATTAGAGAGCGTTATAATACATAACCTTTTGAAGATTAATGCGAAACAATTCGAGTGATTATCATGTCTACTAAGAATATGACCGACAAATGTGTTGTCTGTTGAGGTGACAAAACTATTCCAATTATCGTGAAACCACCCCCCTGTGCTACACTGGCTTCCAAGTGGCTGAGGACAATACCTAGGACTGGCTTCTGGGGGGATTCGGGGGGGATGGGAGCTCCTGGGGCCCATCCTCTCGAAAATTTCAAAAAAAAAAATTGACCTAAAACGCAAGGTAGCGGTGAAACCTCTCCATGGTGCATGAAATCCACGCACACACCGCCTACAAAAACTGGTGCATCGGATGCACGGGTCATGGGACCCACGCACCTCTCGTAATTGTCCCTCCAACAACCATGCTTGTAAGTCTGTACAATATCTACAGCTTAGGACAATATTCATCAGGGTAAAAGCACCAATTGTTCTTAATGGGTCTCTAGACAAGGTAGGTATGCATTAAAGAGCAACCCTACAAGTTTCCTCTTCAAAATTTCACAAGGGAAATGGATCAAACAACAATAAGTCTGAAAATCAACTACTGGACAAGATATAAGTGTCCACTTAAAATTAGGTGAATGGCAAATGTACCTACAAATGAGGTCCTATGTATTATCTAACTTGCTTTTGACCAGCGTTAAGAATACTTGTTATTATCTATTATTATCTATCTACTATTATCTATTATTATCTATTATCTATTATCTCATTCATGAGTTGATTTTCGAACTTCCTTCCATGTGAATCGATTTCTCTGCAGGATTTGGGAGAGAAAACATGTGACCTTTTGTCTTCTAGTTCCAACCCTGTTTAGTGGCCCATTCAATTTAAAGGGAGAGAATTTGAAAAATGTGAAGTAGGTACCTATCGAAATTTAAGAGAGTACCTAAATCTCGGCGATCCCCTCGAAATGATGGAAATATATAGAGCTTTAATTTTTATAACTCCTCTCCCCTTCTTTCTATTTACCCCCATACCCCCAATATTTTTATAATTTTTGCTAAAAGGATATGAAGATTGATGAATTAATTTTACATATTTGTTTATTTATCAATTTATTTATCTTTTCAAGATTTTTTCTAAAAATGTTAAAATAGGTTGCCTACTGACAGTGACATATAAAATGAAAAGTCATCAATTGTGAACCAAACTTTTTGAGACAACAAAAAATATATACACAATCAGTTACCCTTTTGATTTTTCTATGGGAAATTTCACCTAAAATTGTTTCCTATTTTTCAATTAAATATGTAGTTTAAATTCGTGAATTTTCACACAAATTGTACAAATCCTTTTAGACTTTAATGCCCGTAGCATATTCCTTAATATGCAGTATTTTGCATTCCACACACATCAGTATGAAGTATTTTTAGAATAGCACAAAGGTTTCATGCCAATTTTTTTTCCTAGTCTTCTGTTTATGTTAGGTAGGTAAATGTTTTACACACATTTTAGAAACCAGGGTAAAAGTTCGCTACTAAATATTTTTAACTTTCTTTTTCCCCCACAACCAGAAGAACTATTTGAAGTTATACCCTTTTATGAATAAACTGTTCAATTTAAATATTCTGTTAGTTTGGTTTCATGCAAAGTTTAAAGCAACAAATCAAAGATGCTTGATGCAATCAATGATGCCGATACTTTCAAGCTGGACAACATTCAAGTCCCTCATGGTTTTTGTTTTAATTTATAGCACAAAACCGGTGCATCTAAAAGAGGGAACCAATGCTATAATCCAGAGGGCCAAGGTTTTTGGGTTCCACTGAGTTTTTACGGAGATATCACAATGGGAACCCTCCAACACCGCGCAGGAGACCAAAACCAGGCCACTGCGTGTAAATATAGAGTCTTAGCTTCCCGTCTCGGATCTCATAGGCTTGATGGGGTAGCTATCGCTCCTTTTAATCTAAAGATGTATTGCTACTTTGACAATTTCTTTTCCAATATTGCATGGATGTTTTTTCATGTTCAATTCGGTTCTATTGGCGGTTTAAAGAGTGATTTTGAAGTTTTCAATTTTCTCTAGCTCCTTCCTTGTAGTTTTGACAGTCAATAATCATTCATGGCTCATACATAGTAGGATATGCTGTAATATTGACTGTTTATTTTTCAATTATGCACCGTTCATTTTTCATGGTCGAGTTAGTTCAGCAAGGGTCTTTAGTACGATTTTGAAGATTTTGATTTTCCCCGGCTGGGCAAGGTAAAAGTTTCTTGTAGTTTTGATTCATATTCATAGTATGAAGCCTACATACATTTAAAAAAAAATAATGCTAGTTTTTGTACTTGTAATTCAGCTAGGCAAAAAAACCTTGCCCTTAAAAACTTCCGGTTTTTTACATTTTAGGACGTATAGGTAGTCAGATTTTCATATGAATATTTCTGAAGAATGTTACATGCCTACTACTAAAATAAATTATGCTGCAACGAAACACAGTAAAAATGGTTTATTTCAAGATAACTATCTATAAAACCCTAATACGATTTTAAAAGTAGACTATTTACACTATATCACAGTTATTCATTACAATCTACAGTCATTACTGATCATTCTAATCAGTTCATCTCTTATGTAGAAATCGAACTTATGATTTGATTTTCGTAGGAAAGGAGGGAGAAATATGCATCCAAAACAATATCTTCCTGTACACAAAAATAAATGTTTCAGTCTCATTTGGACTTCATTGCACAATAAGAAATTTCTATTTCTGGCTCATTCAGAGAAGCAACTATCTATATAAGAAAACCGATTGCACATGCGTTGTTTCTAAAACGAGCCAGAAACAGTAGTTCCGTTTGTAGGACATTCATCAACGATTTTTTTATCGGTGCACCTGTTGTTTCTAGTAATTTACGTCCACGCGTTTTTTCGGCAGGGGAGTTTTGGTCCACTTATCAATTGAGACCCAAAGTTAATTGGTTCACATTTAAATACCAACAAAAATTGCTCACGGCGTCTTTGGATGAAAATATATAGTGTCTTGGAAAAACAACAGTTTGCTAGATTTTTTTTTTTTTTTTTTTTTTTTTTTTTTTGTCCAATGGAGAAAAATACATAATTGAGATTTTTGGTTAAAATAGAAGAGCGTCGATGCCATGAAGGAAAATTCACTAAAACTATCAACATCTCTTTGGTGCAACAGGACTTAATTATATTTCAAGAAAATCCCATCTTGTTATACCTAAACCAGATGAACCTTTTGATTTGCTTCAGCTAAAGGCTCTTAGATTTTTCCTAAGTATGATAACTTCGCTACGGCGCCAGCGTGCCATGGCGCTTCGAGCTACTATTTAGCAACAAAGGTGTTGCATAGTATGATACGAGATTGAAGGCACCCCAACTTATGATTGATGGCATCTTTCAAAAGCATGAAGTTCCCTCGCAAATTAAATCGAGGGACGATGCCAAAAAGGAAGCAGTAGTCAAAAAACTTACCAAGTCCTGGTATCTATATTCAATAAAGTGAAGCATGATTTTTGAACTTCATTAGAGGAAAAAGTGACTTGATTCAAGCAGAAATATGCTCAAATTTGCCGCAGAGATATCCTTATGAAGCAAAAATGCAAATAATGCTTGTTTAAAGAAGAAAAGATGCTTACATAAAAAGAGAAGTCACTTACATCAAGCAGAAACCCGCTTTCGTTCAGCGATTTTATTCTTGATTCAAAATAAAATCTTCTTGACAGCATACTCAAGAATGTTCCTGCCTAAATTGAGTCACTTTTTTCTCTAATAAAATTCAAAACTTATGCCAAACGTTAATAAATACGGATGCTAGGATTAAGTGAGTTTTTGGACTACCGCTCTCTTTTTGTACCGAAGTATATTATTTATTTTGCAAGGGAAGCTCTGTACGCTTAAGGGATGCCTGTCTTCCTTAATATGTTGGAACGCCTTCAATTTCGTATCATCCTGTGCAACATCTTTGTTGTGAAATAGTTGCTTGAGACGCCGTGGCACGCTGCGGGGTGGCGGGCGGCCAGCCAGCGCGGCACGCGCATTGGCGCCTACAAACCTACAGGGATACTTCAAGCATTGCGCAATGCGAGTAGTATCCCTGGAGGTTTGTAGGCGCCAGTGCGTGTTTCGCGCTGGCAGCACACCGCTCCGCTGTGTCAGGCCCTAATATTTAAACTTGCGGAGTCAGCCTTTTTCAACTCATGATTTTGAAATGTTTGCACACTTTCCATTGATTATTCTCATTTAAATTGATGGAAAAAAAATATGTGTTAAAGGAAAATATAAAATGTGTTTCATAAAGATTAAGGTGGTTCTGTGCCAAATTTAATGATTTCAAAAGCACTCTAGTTTTTTCTTTTGATACTTTGTGCTTTTACTGTGCTGCAGCGTGGTGTACGCGCAACCAAATGCTCAAAATTGAACACATTTGACTCTTACAGATCGATGTACAAATGGGTTAAAACCTAAGATTGCGTGTCTCTTGGTTTTTTTTCCCTCTTTTATTCATTTTTGTACAGTTCCTTTCAACACCACTACGGCTCATTGATGTTAATATCGATGCCATTGCTTGGAAAAGGTTTTCCACGTTTTAGAATGTAAGTACATGTACTTAAAATCAAGAAATATTTTATTTAAAAAAATAAAAAAAAAGAAAGTGCATAAGGTATACATACTTGTATTTTATATCGAAAATTTTAAGGAAGGAAATAAAACCGAATATGCACCAAGGACAATTTGAAAAGACGAATCAAAAGAAGAAAGTAACATTTCACTTAGAAAATGAAATACCATAACAACACCTCCTCCTCTCTCAATTTTCTAATTTCCATATTGTCAATATAATTTTACATACGGACTGAAATATGACACTTGGACCAAGTCACGGTTGCCTATTTTATGCGTGGACGTAAACTACTGGGCAAAAAAGATATGCAGACAAAAAATCGTTGACAGAGTGTCCTGAAACTGTAGTTGCTTATTGCAAAATATTGCTCATTTGATACTGAAATTGAAGCAAGTGCACCAATATTGCAGTGCACATGACTATAGGAAATGCTCCACACCAAAATTATTTCAGTTCCATTTGCAGTAGTGACATTACAGCTGATCGAAAGTTGTTTGTCAATCATCCTGACAGACATGAATGACTAGCTCAAAACTAGATTCTAAAGGATCAAGATATAAATCAGTGGCACCTTCATTTTTAGGTCTAATCCACAGATAATTCCTACACTCGAAATGGACTTTTTGATACCTGATTATTATAATCTTCAGAAGTAGAGCCTCTACTTACTGAACGACACCGCAATAAATTTCCATCATTTATCTTGAAGCAGAGGGCAAAATGATAATTTGCAACCATTTTTGGAATTCACTACATTTACAGTAGCTACTATTTCCCAACTGCCAACCAAAGTTACATCAAAGCTATCAGAACCCTGCATAAGAGACTTCTTAGAAAAATAATAGAGATTTTGAATTTTTTAAACTTATTAAATGGACGTGCAAGTAATATTAATTTCCAAACACTTACAGGGAAATGAATAAGTTTTGATTTTGTTCTCCTCGAAGGGACAAAACTTTGGGACTCAGAAATCGTGGACATTTTCTAAGAAAACCATTTCCTTGGATTTTGTTTCATTGAGTTCTATTCGGGGCAGACACATTGGTTAAGGATCTCATGCCACCTCAGCAATCTTGGAGACAGGTCTGTAATTCAGTCTTCATGATTGGAGTTCCTTGTCTGGGTGATCCACACTTTTAAAATTTCAAGATAGTCTGATATCATGCTGAGTTCTTCTTTCTCTTTTTCAATCTGCAAAACAGGTCAAATAAAATTAAAATTGGGAAATAGGCACTTAGGGTTAAGATACAACGTAAGATAGACTGCCCAAGATTATTGAAATAATTAAAAAGCTATATTAAAAGTAGTAACTCACTTCCATGCAGATAAGAAAAGTTAAAATTGGACCCGTTTCGAGAACTTAAGTGGCCGATTTAGAAAAAACTTCAAATTCGATGATCACAATTTGTATGGCGTTTCCTAGCATTTTGCATCTGCACAATAATGCTCCACTAACTTTGAAAATAGTATTACAATATTCCTTGGGACTGGAAGGGTTTATTTATCATTTATGTTACATCTAATAATGTCAAACTTATTAAAAATATTTTGAAATTTAAGGTTGACGTTGGACTGAGTCTTAAGAATAATTTCAATGTGTGTAACAGCTTCAGTAGAAAAAAGGAAATGGCTGAGGATGACTTGGATAAACCAGGTATATATGAAATTAAGTTTGAAAGGTGCAAAAAAGTTTGTGTGGGCCAGACAAGTCAGTCGATTTAAGTAAGAGCCCAAGAACAAGTGAGAAATGTCAAACATAGACAAACACACAGATCTGCTGTAGCTGAACATTTCTGAGACACTAGACATCAATTTCAAACTGGTTTTATTAAAAGAAGTTAATAATAAGGCTGAACTAGATCCTTAGGAAAACATTTCCATCTTTCGCTGGATTAATTTTAACACAGACTTGACGGGCACATCTAATATTTTATTTAAACTATGTAATTAAATCAGGCAACACAGGGAAAAGATCAGCTGATCATAAGACAACACCACCTTCTCCACCAATTAAGCCAGTCGCAGGTTATTGCTGAGGATGACGGTAGCGCCCACGAAACTCGTTCAATTGTATTAAAATAAAAAGTAAGATTGAGTCGTTTACATTATTATTTTTTACAAACTTGTAATGAGTGAATTCAAGATTTTTACACCCATCCTCCAAAAAATCAAGCTCTTTAAAAGCCTTAAAAAAATTTCAATTTCAAGCAGTTTTCAAGGCCACAAGAACCATGGGAAATGGAAAAAATGTCCACCCACTTTATAGTCAAAAAGATAAAAAAGTACAAGAAATTGAATACAGAGGAAAGCTGCAAAACTGCAAACTTTCATTAAATTATACCTCTTTTTCGTGATGCAGTTTTACTTTCTTTGGCTGTGCGTTTTGATATTTTTCCTGTGGATGCCCTCTTGTCCAAGACTTCAATTTCTTTTGTAAACTATCATGTTTTGCAGTCACCTGCCTCTCATACGCTAGTAAATCAAAGTCTTGCTGAAAATTAAAAAGTAAAAGAAATTGGTTACTTGCTTCAAAATCTGATCTCGAAAGAAAACACACAGAAATGGAGGATTATTTTTTTAACTCAATTGAGGCTGAGTAGGTGGTCATCTATTTCTGTTGTAACCGCCAAAAATAATAATACTTCCCTAAAGTTGGGTACCAAAGAAACATAACTTATAACTTGAAAGTATTGAGTTACTTGCATTTTTAATATACTTAGTGAAGGATCTCTATCAATAGCCAAAGTGCGAAATCACGTAACTCAGTTTGCGACGTTCCAGACTTCCTGTCATACTTTATTGATTCCTTGGAAAACTAGTCAACATAATTTCTCGAAAACTTCCATGCTTTTCCTTCTCCATTGGCAAAATATTCTGTAAGAATTTCGAGCTATGAAGGTGGCTCATATCTCCTCGAAAAATAAAATAGGAACAGATATTTTGAACCACCGCAATGAGGATACCTTGTGTAGCACTTTCGTCGTCGGTAGGTGTAAAAAAATGGTTATGATATCTAACACCAAGCCTAAGATTCAGTAATAATAAGTTATTCCCCCATAAAGTAGTTAGTGTTTACCACTCGGTTAGAATTCTTTTAGATACAGAAAGTAGATCAACATACATAGATGGTGTTTGCTAGTCTATTTGGATCAAGACATTATCAGGGATATAATGATACCTTGATATGAGAACAGCTCCTAACAGGCATAAATCTTTTTTTCAGATACTGATGAATGACGATATACATTTCAGTGTAGTACCAAAAAATAATGATACAGATGTCAATGCAGCCCGGTATTGACAGAAAATCATTTAGAGAAACTCATAAAGTTTTGAACAATGATTAACAAGTTTCAGAAATTCTTAAGTAAGAGGGATAGCCTTTCTCAAGTAGACGTTTTGCCAAGTATAAGATTTGTAATCTGTCATTTTTGGGCTAAATTAGTACACGTAGTATCAATCATAAAAAACTTACTTACAGCAGGGTATCCATAATTTTTTTCATTTCAAATTCTCTGACTTTTCCTGGCCTTCAAACTGAAGATCTATTTAGACTCCTTTTATTCAAAAACGTGAGCTGACCTTCACATTTTTTGTGAAATTTCCACTTCCAGAGGTTCAGATTGTAGGAAATGGCACTCAGAAGAAGTGGTTCTCCCTTTCTGGAATGGCATTGACTGAACGCCGAAACGCTATTAGCAAGATTCCTTAACTTTCCTTCTAAATCTCTCGACTTTTCTGGGTCACTGCAAATTCGCTGCCCATCCCTGATTTTCCCGGTTTTTCAGATCACTGTAAAACCCCGATACTGGGACTGATGTGAGTGAATTTTTCATTATTTAATTTTTATTTACTTAAGTGAAGTATCAATACTTTGGCGATTGTTGCTCCTAATCCTACGGACATGATTTCTTGGGCATCATATCATCATAAAAGAGCAAAAAAGTTTACTTACTAAATTAATCAGCAAATGGATACTCGTGTTATCATCTACTGGAGTATCCAAGAAGTAGGGACTAGTGGGAGTCTCTTTCTCCAAATTAACAGAGATGCATTTGCCTAAAGTCTTGATCATATCAATGTGATTAGTGAGCATATCTGCATTGTTTGTCCTAATGCTGAAACGATAGTCTTTGTCAGGGAAATATTTGCTATGACACACAGTTGAACGTCTCATTGCTGGAAATTAGATGAAAGAAATAATTCAGGTAAATGAAATTATTACTCTTGATTTTTTCACTTTTTCCAGTGATGACTTTTTAGAGATTTGTTGACCTATTCTGCCTGATGAATCTTCCTGTTATCTTTCTTATTAGTTTTCATCTGTTGCTACAATTTACTGGTCTCGTGTTTTTTAAAATTTTAAAAATTCTGACAGCAAAAACAACATGAGTTTGTTTTTCATGAGTGTTAAAAGATGGCTTATGCTGAGAAATTATTCCATACAAAGAGAAGATGCAAGATAAATCAGCAAGAACAGGTAGAAAACTCATTAAAAATGAAAATAATGCAGCTATAAAAGCATCTGATAATGTGGGAGAGATTTCAAAGTAATATAAGAAACGAGCATGAGGTATGACTCCACCCTGGGTCCTCTGAATTTTGTTGATTCATATGTTAAATAAATGGTAAAGCAAGCTCAAATTTTGTTGCAGATTACTTGCTTTTTTTCACCACGAAAATTAGCAGGAATAAGTAGAATATCTGAGAGTGATAAAAATCTTAACTTATTACCTTTGACAATGTTCATTATATATCTAAAGTCTGCATCCAGGTTAGAATTCCTGAATTGAACGTATTGATCTTGAGTAGGAAATGGAGCATTGTGGACTTTCTTTCCTGTCAAGATAAAGTACAATTCTTCAGAGAGAAAGGGCATGAAAGGTGCAAGGAGCCGTAGATATGTCTCTAAGCATAAAAGCATGGTGCGGGAGACTGGCAACGTTGCAGTATCTTCATCATTCCAGTCTATGACAGGAGCAAAACTATCGTACAGAACAGGCTTAACAGCTTCCTGAAACACAGTTAACAATCCATTTTTCTTCTCAGCTTCTCTTCAATTTTTTTTTCCGACATTTATAACGCAAAGCAATTCTCTTCATTTTGTACCTCCAAAATTGAGTTTTATTGAAAATTTCTAATCGGGAAATTGTTCACCCTAGGGAGGTAAAAATTTGCACAAAGCATTATACCAAATATATAAAAACAATTTCATTGATTCCAAGACAGTGGGTTGAACACCCGGTTAAAATGATACGGAATGACCTTGCATCTTTCGTCTTATACCTACATCGATTCTCCCAAATTTAATTGCTATCTACATATTCAAAATTGAATGTAAAAAAACACAGAATCTTAATTTAAACAAGTTTGTACCTATTTTGTTAATATGATTTTATCAGATCCAAAATAGTATTCAGGTCTTGCGTTCATGTGGTGATCCTGAATGGCGGGCGATTAATTTACACGGTGGAAATTGAGATTGAGTGATACTACTAATGCCACCACCTGACACAGATTATTCTAAAAGCAAAACTTCAAACCCGCCGCTCCTCTACTTTTCCTGCCACTAAACTGCTAAAAACGACATTTTATTTGATTTTTGGAGAGTTTTGGCCTATTTGACAGCTCCAAATTTGCTAGCGATATTATATTTAGCTTCTCCACACTCAAGGGACTAAAACTTTAAAAAAGTAGTATATTTAGTTCTTACTCAAGACACAAAGAAAAATTAGTGAATTATTTGTAAGGTATATTGATCCACCAAACTGCGGGTAATTAAATGAAATACCAAATGCAATTTTGAAACGGAGCACAGCAGTTACACCCTTCTACCAGGAATTAATTCATATAGGTACTAAATTAGAGGATTTTTTACAAATTTCATGCAAAAGCACAAGACAGCCTTCTTTTTGGAGAACAAAGTAAGAGCAGAAATTTCATGAGCACTATATTTGATATATTATTTTTCTGGTTTCACCATTGATAATGAGACTCTTACCTAACTGGAGGAGAAGAAAGAGGAATACAGCTTTTGAACTTCACAATCTGTCAGGGCTTACAGTTTATCTACTCAGCAAAGGAAAGGGTGTTCAAAAGTATCTTTGTCAGTAATCTATCGACACATCTTGCTCTGAAATACCGATAAAGCTCTGATACAACCACTTTTGTCAGAAGCGGCTTGAGCATTCAATCAAAGCATTGTCGCCCTGCATGTCTGCCCATTTGATTACTTAGCCTGTAAAACTAAATCCATGGTGACATTTTATTTTTGCTAGCTCTGAAAGCTGATAGCTATTGGGAAGGGCTTTACTTTGTTACTACTTTTTAACCAAACTCGTAGAATGGCATGCCAAAAACAGAAAAGATATCTCTGGTAAAAAATACTCACCAGAAAAATATCGCAGAATTCAAAGACAAAAAAGTGAAGAATGGCGTTTGCCGCATGGTGGAAGTTGTAACTGTCCAATCCACTATTGACTCGGCTGACACAATCTGCAAGGCGGCTTAAGATCCACGCCTCTGGATAAGATGAAGAAACTTCTGGCTGGTCGGTAGAGGACGCATGGGCTTTATTGACCCAACGACGACAAAATTTGCATGCTTGCACTATTTTGTTGCAAAACCTCCTATTCTTCTCGCATTCTTGCCAGTCAAATTTAATGAACGAGTCTGAAACAGTGTGAAAGATGCAAAGGTGAAATTGCCTATCAGTATGAAACTCCTTGACCAGTACGTGCAGTGGTTATATGGTTCTCTTGTTAATAGCTGAGCATTTGCAAAAATGGGTCGTTTCTGCAAGGTTTTCATTCCAAAGAATGATGAGATAATTTGTCAAGAACCAATGGATCACTTGACAAGCTATGATTTTGAGCACTCTGATTCATGGTTCCTCTATACAATCTCACGTTAAACATGGATTTACAAACAAAAATTGCTGACGGTTACTCCAATCCAAGATATTGATGTTTCTACTGAGCAAGGGCTACGAAAAATTTGGATTTCCCGCTCACAAGAAAAACTGAAATCTATGCCAATCAACCACAACGGTTTTGGCAGGCTTCTCAATCGAGGAATTTTATTTCCCTGTCCTGTGTTGTTTGGAGTGTCGATAACAAGTTAACAAGTAAATAACAGGCTGAGCTGAGATTGAAGTTGCCATTTTTCACTCTGCAGAGACAGTTGCAGTGACGTTTGAGTGCTATTTAACTCAAGTACATTAGGGGATTTTTCAGAGAGTGAGAGCTTTGAATTTATGAATCCAAAAGCGTTGTTACCTAGGTTAGGAGTTACTTTCAATAATTGTCAATGCACAAATCGTGTTATACATCAAATTTTGCTGATAAAGCAAACATATTTTTTAAATTCGTAACTTGTCTGGTCATCCATTATGGACCTTTCTGGAACCATTCAAAACTAGTTGCTTTTCTACTTGCTTTGATTTAAAAACAGAAACCATGAAGAGAGTTAGTCGCCTTTGGGAAAAAAATGGCGATGGCCAAAGTGCAAATTACAGACATCTCCCACTCAACTCCTCCAAATCCTTGTACCTCCGATTACAACGTTGCATACTTCGAAGCATACTTTATTTTTTCTTCCAAGAACCAGTCAATCTACTTTTTTAAAAACTTCCTTGAATTTTCTTTGCTGTGAGCAGACTATTCTGTGTAAATTTCAAACTATGAACTTTGAACTTGGAACTATGCATTATGAACTATGAACTATAACTCTGAAAAAATAAAATAAAATGAGATGAAACTTTTGAAAAACATTAAGCCATCCATAGGTAACTTTTCATACTCATGCATACTTACTCCTGAAATCATGGGAGCTGAGGGTGAGTCTTAAAGCATCAGCTCCGCACTCCATAATTCCAACTGGCAATAATCGCTTCTGGCCCGCCAATGCAATATCGAACTCTTTGTCAGAGAGATGGCCAGATTGATAGGACTTCTTGAGCTCTTCTTGGAGCTGTTCTGATGAAATACCATGAATAATATGCAGAGGATCTATTACATTGCCTCGGCTTTTCGACATCTTGCGCCCCTGAGGATCGGTGATTAGACCATGTAGAATCACCTTCTTGAATGGTAGTTTATCCATCGCAAAGAGGCCTAAAGTCAACATTCGGGCCACCCAGAACCCAATGATGTCATTCCCTGTTTCCATCAAACTCAACGGGTAGAATCTTTCCAAGTCCTCTGTAATCTTTGGCCAGCCAAAAACGGAAAATGGCAGAAGACCTGAGGAGAACCAAGTGTCTAAAACGTCTTCATCTTGTGTAATGACTAGGTTTTTCATTTCGCCGTCTGATAAATTGAGTTTTTCTTTTATTTTCTTTGTGGCCTCTTCCATTGAGTGAGCAGCCACCCAGGTATTTTTTGCGGAGTATAAAGGTAGTCTATGTCCCCACCACATTTGCCGTGAGATGCACCATGGCCTACATTAATCAAGAATTACAATTTAATTTGAATCATTAAAGGATATTTTTAGGCAGAGGGGTGGGTTTTACATTGTAAAGACACAAATATATCATTTTTTTTCATTATTGGCAGATATCAGTTGTTACTGATAGCTTGAAAACAGAATTAGGTTCACATATCTTCAGTAAAACTGCAAAAATGCGTATCTCGGTGGCAGATTTTTCAAAATCTCTGCTCCTATTTCATTTTTTAAAAGGTGACCAAACCACTGTCATGGCTCAAAATTTTCACTAAATATCTTTTACATAGAGAAAAAAATTACCGAATTCATCAAGAGAGGACATCAAGGAGTTATCCAGGAAGAAAATAAAATATGGCAAAAAGTCTCCAATGCTGCTGACAGAGATACGTTTTTCTGCAGTTTCACCATTGATAACTGATATTGATAATTGATAACCAGATGAATTCAAAATTTAGGGAATTTTGTTAGTACTGGAATAAACTGAAATTCCATTTTAATAACTGACATTTTTCAGAAAAATAAAACTAATTAAAAGTGAGACTATAGTAGAATGTCTGGAGGCAAATCGAGCTTTATTGTGATACTTGAAAAATTTGTTGATAATTTTAACAAACTCACCTATATCTCTGCCTACTTATTTGCTTGTCAAGTTTTGGGTCTACACTGAAAACTCTTCTTCGATCACTTCACTTCAGGTTCCTTCTCCTGAACTCGAGGCGCAATCTCCAGATGATGTGGATGAGTTTGTCGCAATCAACAAAAACTTTTCAATGAGAAATAAATATTTTAACTGAGTGAATTTTTTATGGTAATATACTTCATTTGCTTGTAAAAAAATTTTCCTAAATTGGATTGCATTTTGCAAAAAGGAACCACTAGCATTGCAATGATGCTAAGATTGTACGACTTCATCTTTTGCAATAAAATTGCGGAAATCGTGAAAAACTATGAAATTTAGATGGTAATTTTTGTCTTAAATTTACTGTTTTTAGCGAGTAAAATAGAAACTAATAATGGATAATCCGGTTTTTCTTCCAAGACAAAAGAAGTTGCACAATCTTAGCAACATTGCAATGCTAGTGGTTCCTTTTTGCAAAATGCAATCCAATTGAGCTTCATCTTATCAAGATTTTTACCTTTTATTACATGTGAACCAATCAATTAGTGCTTTTTTACCCGATGATGGTTCAATATCTACTTCATTTTCATTTAAAGATTTGACAATTCTATCAGCTACAATGTCTAGTTTGAGAAACCTGAAACAAAATTGAGATGGAAATTAAAAGCAAATGAAAGACTCCTTGAGATTAGAAACAGGAGACCAGTATAAGTAAGCTTGAAATTTAACATTACTGAATCAAGAACAATGTTCGGAACAATAAATCAAAAGGCTGAAATCATTTTAGAAACAGTACCTTTGTAATTTACCTAAATTTATTAATCATAGCTTTACTTTCAAATAGAAGAGCCTTGTGTCAACAATTGAGGGGGTGACTGAAACAAGGACTTATACACCCACAGGTGTTATTTTCCCAAACTGGCGTTGAGTCCTTGCATCCTGCATCATCCTCCTGGTAATATCATGAAAATATCTGAACTCTATTCTTCTCTATTCTATATACACTATTCTTTGTGAACTAGATTGGCAAGAGGGAGAAGGGGGTCGAAAATCCTAATCTCACAGCAGGTCATATAGGTCTCTATTGATTTCTGTACATTTTGTTCACATGATGGGTCGTTTGAATGATTTTTTTCTTCAATTTTGGGGCCACTGTGTGTGTTAAATCGTAAAGCAGCTGATAATACAATTTTTTAAAACTTACTGATTTTTGTAAAAAAATAAACTTGACAGCCTTCAAGGGAATAAATCAAGCTACCCAAAAACTCCAAACATAGATTTCCTTCCTGTGCGGTCTTAAACCAAAAACAAGATCAACCATTCAGATGAGTTTATACTCGAAACAACTAATTCGGTAATGGGCCCTTTTTCCGGCAATCACCTTAATGGCGTAATTTTTTTCTCAGCATAGAAAGAGTGTACAAAAACATTTTTTGAGGAATTTTCAACAAGTCTACTGAAGAGGGCCGTTGTTGGCCGTTGTTTTTTCTCTGAGGCTGCTAGAATCCAAAATTGTCAACAAAATTAAGTACAAATAAAACCCAGTGTATGACATCCACATCATCCACCACAGTAATACATCCATGGTTTCTTTCATCTTGGATTCATCAATTAGTGACACAGACACTTGCTCTGGATTCTTGACTGAAAACATGAATAAAGGCAAGGTGGAAGAAACCTGTTATGCACCACCATGATAGATGACGTCATATGCTGTGTCATTTAATGGGCAATATCCCCGCAAATATTGGATATGGAAACTTGGCATTTAGACAAATCTTAGTATTTTTTGCTGAGCTATAAACTGAAATTATCAAAATACTAGTCTATGACTAGTACAACTGACCCATTTAAACAAAGTTGTGTGCTAAACAAAAATTATTCTAAAAAATAAAGTACCATTGTGGTTTCATTAAAAACTCTATGATGTCCCCTGAGCGACAGCAAATAGGCACAGCCATTGAGTGAGGTTTTTCCTCAACGTAAAGTCTCTTCTGTATCAAATAACTGATGAGCTTGCGCCTTGCATCATACCTCTTCATACCCTGTGATACAAAAATAACCATGAAAGAAAAACATACACATCAATGGAACAACAGATGCAAAAATTGCTTTGCAATATGGTTAGTTAACAATTAATTTACCATCATTTTCGTTAGAACATTTGTAGTTTTCAACCCTAGTCTACCAAACATGGGTCATTTTAGACCCGGCGCTTCGTAAAAGAATGCCCATTCTTCACCTGTTGCTCCTAGAAACTTTACCTTCACAAATAGCTCTACAAAAACATTAAAGCACATGAATTAAAAAGAAAATCATTGAAAAAAAATTTTCGAGTAGCTAGAGCTTTTTTTTTCACGACTACCGCGAGAACAACAATATCGAGTCAGTTCTGACCCATCTCCCGTTTCCTAGGAAACTTTCGGTTTATTTCAACGACCCATGATGATGCTGCTATCATCCCTAAGGTAAAATTGAAGCCAGATATCATATACTACAACAAAACTAAAACAGGGGTTGCTACGATGGATCAAATGGTCAGGTGCTATACGGCCGAACAACAGACACGACAGTGGCCATTTGTGTTTTTCATGAATAAGTTGAATGTTGGCTAATCTAAACTTTGGAAGGAAAAAAATATTAGGCTTGTAAGTCTAATTTTAGATTTCCCTGATAAAAAACATCATTTAAAATACGTGCATGCATAAAAAAAAAAATAATAAAAAAGAAGAGCCTGTGTACTTTAAATACGGGTCTAAACTGACCCGGTACAGGCAAACTAGTGGAAAAAACTTGTTTGGCAGACTAGGGTTAAACATATAACGGCTTTCTTGTCTAGAACTGTTGAAAACTAAACTAACAAACTAAACTAAACTATTGAAAATATATTTCCGAAAATATTGTGAAAACTTTGTTGCAATGTTAATTTTGGCATTGACAACATTTTCACGGCCACTTCTTCATAGGTGTCCCAGGCTAAATCCCAGTGATTTTCTGAAATTAGAAATACATAATTTTTGCATGGCTATTTTACTACTTCCAAAGAAGAAAAATTCTAGAACTTCTTTTGAATTCTGGTTTTTTAAGGATTTTTGCGAATATTCTTACGTAGCAGCAGTTAGTTAACCCTGCAACTGCTCTGATGAAACAAATAGGAAAAGACAATCTCGTCGTGGGATTTATCAACGATGTTTTCGTTACATGTCAGTTTTCAAAAATTGACTCAATCAAGTTTTAAAATCATTTTTTTGCTAAAATTTAAACAGTGTACATACTGCAAATCCAGAATCCTTGAGTGATTCATGTATTCGGCCATCTTCAGTTATCACCGGTACGATTGGTAGATTGTGCCTTTTGGCTACTTCTAAGTCAGCATGGCTATGAGCTGGGGTGATCTTTACAGCACCTAAAAAATAGGTTCTTGTTTTAGTTTGTAATTTCATTGCATTTTTTTAGTCCGAGTTACAGAAAATTTTCCGTAAATTACCTAAATTGTGCACTTTTTTTCTTTTTTCCTAAATTGTTTGCTAGTGTTAAGAGGCACCTAGAAATAGATCCACAGTTACGGGATGGATACTAAAAAACAGCAGAAACAAAGAGGCATTAAGAGTAGCTTGGAGAGAATCCTCAGTAAAGGAAACATGTAATCGAATATATGAAACATACTATGCTTCAATTATAGTTTTGCTTTAATTTGTTTACATTTGCTGAAAATTCACTTTGACTAGAGATTCTGTAGGTTAACTCGAGTCAAAAGATGTTCACTCTGACAAGTTATCGGAAAGAACCCAAGAATGGGCCGCTGCATAAGAATCTGAACCAGTGAAAACATCACAAGTTTTCTCTTCAAAATCTTACGAAGAGAATTTTTCATACATCAGATATTACAATACATACAAGATTTTTTTTAAGGCAGATTAAATGGAAGCTAGATTACAAAAATGATATATTGGTATTTTCTTCATTTAACCAATCTTAAGTATAAACATTTATATCTTGATTAGGAGTTCATTTCCAGACTTCCCGTGGCACTATTCGTTTTTCTTGTGAAATTTTGTGGAGAACAGATGTTGCATATTGCTTTAATTCAAACCACGTCTGATGACCCATTTTAATTCATCAAAAGCTGCCAATTTTTTAGAATCGTCAGTTTTTATTCAGCATTAAACTTAGATTACGAACAAGTGAAATCATAAAAATACTATTTAACTAGAAATAATGCTAAGAAGCATCCTTAACTTTATCATAGAGGTGACTATACTCTCACAGAATTGAAAATTTAGTGTTTTAGTTTTTGTTAGAAAACAAGAGGCATACTACCTAAAAATATTTCTTTTTTTATTGAAAAGCAATCGTTTTTCTTGCTGACTACCAGCTAGTGGCTAATAAAAATTTCAGTATGATATTTAGAGAACATTTTGCCTAAGTGATAAATAGAAATTTCTGGTATACACAGAAAAGTTTCTTATTTTTCTTGCTCTCTTTAACAGCACTTGACAAAGACTGTCCAAAATAAAATATTAAAAAGGAGGGGGCAGGTTTTGAAAAAATTCAGTGACTAAGGTTAATTTGACAAACCAGTGCCGAAGTTAGGATCCACAGAGTCATCATAGATGAGTGGTATGTGGCACAAACGCAGCGGGTGCTTGAGGAAGGCTCCTTTCAAGTTTTTGTATCGCTCATCATTTGGATTTACTGCCACAGCTACATCCCCAAGCATTGTCTCTAAACGAGTTGTTGCAACATCTATTTTGCGCACTAAAAGATAAAATGAACCATCAATCTTGGCATTTTAAACTTTGCTTGTTTTTTATTTCTTTCATCAAAAATCTACATACACACACATAAGTATAAATAAAACTCTTGATAGTCCCAGTCTACTAAAGTCCAATCAAAGTAGACAATTTTATGACTTGTTATGCAACATTCTTCTCTCATCAAAATTGGACAGGCCATCCAATGGGCCAGTTGCGCTGGTAACAGAATCATGTTTTAATGCTTACTTCTTGTAGATTAGCTAAAAATATCAAGATCTGTCCAAACAGCAACTTTCTACGTTAAATACTAACTGAGATATCGTCCTTCGAAAAGCCGGGTTTTTGACGTTATCTACTGCGGTAGTGTATAACATGGCATGTAATACCGCGGGTGGATGACGTCATAAATCAAGTTTTTCAAGGCGCCATATCTCCGTTAATATTAAACGTGGAAAGTTGCTGTTAGGGCAGATCTTATTATTTTAAGTTGATCTTCAAGAATAAAGCATCAAAACATGATTCCGTCACCAGCCCAACTGACCCATTGTGATCAAAATGGAATGCCAAAATTCATCATTTCTTCCCACACGGAACAGTTATGCCAAGTTTTCATTTGAAAATAATGCAAGGTAAAAAAGTTAGAGCTCATAAATCCCGACACACTTCCTCTCATAAAGATGGGAACTGGTTCAGAATTTCATTTTCTATCGCAGCCTTAAAAAATGGAGCGATTCCCATCCTCTATTTGTGCTAGAATTTGCCTTCAAGTTTTACTCCCTTTATCTGAAAGTACAGTATTTTAAAATCTTTACTTAGAGAGTCATGAAAACATATGAGGTGGAGAAAAAAAGGGGACTGAAAAAATTACAGGAATTTTTAACCATTTAAATTTTTTTCCTTTTTCATGTTTTGTTTTGTTTTTTTTTGTTTTTTTTGTTTTTTTTTTTTTTGGAGTGGACAAACCAACAGAACTTGTTGAAATTTTCACTACTGATCTTCATATAAAGAGGACTTCTACTGTAGATGTTTTGATTTATTAAATTTCATTATGGTGTTCAATTAAAGAAAAAAAAAATAAAATATGATAGGGAAAATATAGCAAAATCCAGCCATCAACATGGTTATCCAGAATTATTAGTGGAACAAAGAGGAAGGAGGAAAAAATTAAAAAGAGCATCAAGTAGAAGTTAAGACACTTACTTTCGCTAACTACTTCATAGGAAAAATAATGGAGGAGACCAAAAGTGACAGGCTCAGCGTAGCCTGGAACGACAAACTCTGTTGGTCCTTCTACTTCCTTATGCTCAACCTCTGCATCTGAGATGGCCGATTGCAGATGGCAGCACCAGTTGACCAACATTTCATCACGATACAACCAGCCGGCTTCAAACAATCTAATCAAAGCTTCTTGGACTGCAATAGATTGCCCCTGGAATGTAGAACATTACGTTTAGGAACAGATGGTTGAATACATAAGGTAAATAAATTATTGACTCAAGTCTACTGCTAAAATATTTAAAAAATATATTCTGATATAACAGTCAAATACATCGACTTAATAGTAAGATAGGTCAAAATGTTTGTGTGTGCCTACTAGCCTGCTTCAAATTGATGATTTCTAGATTTTGTGTAAAACAAATTTTGAAAAGAATTTTTAAATATTAAAACCATACTCATGTCCAAAAATATGATATCAGAATTCAAAGTATTTACCCTCAGAAGAGAGAAAAATCCCACCTATAATTACCATTACAAGTAATTTCACTAATCAGTGCGATTGATCAAATGACAGCTATCTGCTATACTTCCTTTTACCCTTTTTTTACGCTTCACCCTCTACCTATTATTCTATGATACTCTTGAAACGTTTTCTTAAGATCTACACAGATTCACTTTTGCTTGAACAGCCTGAGGCATTAACAAACTTAAAAAACCATCATAAATGACCGGGTAGGTACAGGTTGCACGTGAATAAAAGAGTTAGTTCCTACATTTTCATTTCAAGTCAGTAGGTATACACGGTGTCCAAAAATTCCCCTCTTCCTCTAACTTTTTACCAAATTGAGCTTGCTGAAGATTTGAAACTTGGGAAATGTTCCTAGCTCAAAGGGAGCTACTTTGTGGCCTCCCTAAAATTTTCAGGGGACTTCTTTGGGAGTGACCCCAACTTTTTTTTTCAAATGGAAAGACCCCCTTGTGATACCTTGTTTGAAAGAACACAAAAAAATCCTTTCAAAATGGGGGCCGATTAAAGTTCAAAACAGCCGAAATTGGCAACTTGCTTTGATGCCGATTGATTTGCCTGAAACTCGTTATCTGAGAGTATTTTGCTATGAGAAAAATGAATTTGCATTAGCTTTTTTTTTTAAAAAAAACCCGAATACTTCAAAATGGCGCCTGGTTATAATTCAAAAGATCGAAAATTGGCAACCTTGATTTTTTCGAAATCTACCGTTAAATTCTTTAGTTTCGCGCCTATATACCATCAGAAATCAAGTTTCGGATAAATCTGTCGGCAAGAAACCGAGGTTACCGATTTTCGGCAATTTTGAACTTTCGCCGGGCGCCATTTAGAAATATTTGGGTTTTTTTTAAAAAATCTGAAGTTAAATTCATTTTTCTCATGTCAGAGTATCCCAGAGCATAGAGAAAAAAAAAGGAGGTGTTTGCATTTCGGGCATCTTGGAATTTTTTTGATGACGTAGGTCTGTACGGCGACTTTTATCATCGATTTTCTTGGAAATGGTGTAGTTTGTGGAAAAAATGATTTCTACATAAAGAATTTGAAATTACATCATGAATTGATTTAAGCAAAAAAATTGGACGTTATGGTCCGTTTTTCATACTTCGAATTTCGGATTTTGCTGACGAGGTTGTACCGACCTACATCACAGGATACACAATCCTCAAAATGCAAACACCTCCTTTTTTTCTCTATGATCCCAGAGGAAGGGGACTTTACTTACAGACACCCTGTATGTAGTTTGTATAGTGGAAAACAAATAATTAATTGACTGCAAATACCTATATGTCTTTCCCAGAGTTTTAATTCTCTTTCCTTCTGTAAAAATGTGACGGGCGCTTAAATTGTTAGGCGGATGGGCAAAATGAAAGTCCTAAAAATTAGATTACCTCATCCATTGTAAACTTCTCACGTGACCAATCAAGGGAGGCTCCTAGTTTTTTCAACTGAGTTTTGATGACTGGAATTTTTTCCTCTTTCCAGGACATGACTTCCTGGATGAACTTTTCCCGACCTAATTCATGACGAGATACATTTCTTTCCTTCTTTAGTTTCTTTTCCACTACAATCTGCGTTGCAATTCCAGCGTGATCAAATCCAGGAACCCACACAACAGGATGACCTTGCATTCGTTTCCTGGGAGAAACAAAAAAAGTAATTACTTCATCATTATGGAAAGTACGAAATTCAATGGATTACCTATTCCTGAAAACACACACATGCACCTTTTCCATTAGAATGAAGATGATTGGAGATTATAATGAGGATTCAAGTGGAGACATAGGCGGATCCAGGGGGGGGGGGGGGG